CTCTACTTTCAGTGTCTCTTTCCATGTGAAGATTGTTTGATGGGTTTCATTATTTTCTCCTTTTGCCTAATTTTGAGCAATCTTAGATGGGCAGCAGAGTTACAAAGATATTACAAAGGGTCCTATATGTCCTTATAACATCTTTTATTATCAACATGCACAGTTACCAAAAAGCTAAGGAATTAACAATGGTAGCCCACTCTGCTTTAGCTTAATGCTTTTGAGTTTGCAGCATATACCAAACTCTCAGTTCTCTTAATGACTGAGAAGGGTTTTTTTTTCTTCTTCTGCTCTCATTCCTTCTACATTATTTGAAATTTGTAAGGAAGACTTGTCCCTTTCTTTCGATTCATTTATTTTTCCATTTATTACATTAGTGTGGACACATGGACATTTTATATCATTCTTTGGGTGCTCAATCAATATTTTAACTGTTTTTAAAGATTGTAATAGATATTTATTTAAAGTAATACATATGGTAGCCCAAATGGTTCTTAAGTTATCTATTTCATGTTTAACCAATGTCATAAAAATACTTAGAGGACAGCTGCATTTCAAGTACGTGATTATTTCTTTGCCCACTCTTCTCTCTCTTGAATAATTTCTTTCAGATATGGTTCATGGTAGGATTTATCCTCCTCATATTTTGTCCACTGTTCTTTAGGCAAAATCTGTTGCCTCACGGTCAGATCCAGGGCTCTTTTAACGCGAAACATCCTGTCATTATAAGGGTGCTCGGGAAGTCTTCTTATGGCTTATTTTACATCTTCATCTTCATGTATAGTTTACATCTTTGTCTTCATGTATAGTTGTTGCTAAGTGTCGTGGAGTTGCAGGTGACTCATAGCGACCCTATGAAGTAGAGTCCTCAACGCTTGGGTGCCTTTCATCCTCTCTCCAGGTTCATAGGGTTTCTGGAGGCAAGCTGTTACGGAAGTGGATGTCCCTCCTCCTTCCAAGCTTGTTCTAATTGGGGAGTTTCACCCAACACTGTCCACCATGGGTAACCAACCATTAACGCATTTGACACACCAGCGTCACAGTGTTCAGCCTCACAGCAACCACAAGTGACTGCTGTCTGGCAACTTGTACACCAGGGCTATACGACCTAGAGGAATGCCTGAACAAAAACAACGAAAGACAGGCCCAAGGGCCATGGATTAAAAGTCACCCCATCTCAAAATAATCCTAGTTTATTGAATCCTGCAGCATTGTAATACCATTTTCGAATACCATCCAGCCACCAGCCTGATGCTGCAATGGTAGATCAGCCTCTATCTTGACCCCAGCTATTTTAACTATTGTTATTGCTCAATTTATTCTATCCTCAACGTTAGAAGCTCTTTCATTTGGCTCTTTTTCATATTTCCTTCCTCCCCCCTCTTTTCTTTTGTATGTCTTTTATATTTTTCTCTTTTCATTTGTATTTCCTGATTTTGGAGTCTCGCATAGATTAAATCGTGTCCTCCTCCAAATACATGTATATGATGGTATAATGTGGGAGCTACAAGATCTGATAAACCAAAATAGTTGTAAAAGGATTAAGGGTGGGATGAAACACTCCTTGGTCCCATCACAGTAAGGGAAGTTTCTCTTGATGTGACATGTAAGCTAAAAGGGAAGGAAAATGAATGGAGGTGGGTAGATCTCAACACCACCAAGAAGTAATTTCTGGGAATGAAACAGATCCTTTTAGACATAGACTATGGTGCTTGGAAGCTCCTCGGTCAGAGAAAGACACATGGAATGCCAGGCCTACAGATGCTGAAGGAAACATGGACCTTCCCCCATAGTCAACGGAAAGAGAAGAAGGCCTTCCCACCCTAGAGGGACTAGACACGTCTAGTCTCCTGTCCTGTAAGAGGATACATTTCTGTTTGTTAAAGCTATATACTAGTGGCATCTGTTACAGCAACACTGGAAGACTAAGACAGAGTTCTACAAGATTCTCCAGGTCCATTTTGTATTTGGCCAGCCCCAGCTTGCTATGCATCAGAGAGCTGGACAATGAACAGGGATGATAGAAAAAGAATTGATGCCTTTGAGCTGTGGTGTTGGAGAAAAGCACTGAACATCCCATGGGTGGCCAAGAGAACAAGCAAATATGTTTTGGAGAGGGTGTAGCCGGAGGCAAGAATGATGAGTCTTCGCCTAACATACTTTGGGCTTGTGGCTAGGAGGGGCGATCCTGTGAATAAAAGACCTGAACTATCATCGTTTCTCCAAGTTCATAAAGTTTCCAGAGAAATGCCTCATTAGTTGATTTATAGTTTCATTCTCTGATGATCGCACATGTGCTTGTGGTTATCTAAAGTATATTTACCTGTTTGTTCAACCCCAGTGTATGTGGAAGTAGTCTCAAATTGCTAACTTTAGGGAGCTCTGGTGGCCTAGTGGCAAGAAGCTGTGCTGCAATCCCAAAGGCACCGCAGTTCAAGCCCACCAGCTGCTCTTTGGGAGAAGGATGAGCAATCTCTTCCCATGCAATCAGGTGCCTCTGAAAACCCATCAGAGTGTCACCTATGGTCGGATCCGACTCAATGGTACACAACAACAATCCTTTTGAATAGGGAGCTAGGGTGGCCTAGTGAGTAAGGAATTATGCTACCAATTCAAAGGCAGGCAGTTCAAATCCACTAGCTGTGGGAGAAAAAATGGGCAACATCTCCTCATGCTGTTTACAGCCTCTGAAGACTGCTGGAGGGCCAGTTACTAGTAGGTTCCAACTGGATGCCAATGAGAGTGAGTGGGTATGACTCCTTTGAGATACAGGTTTTCTAAATGTATTTGCATAGGGATTTTTTTCTTTTTTGTATTTTTAGCCTTCAACAAAAACACTCTGCTGAAGTTCCTTATGTCAGCTCATTTCTTCCCATGCCCTTCAGTGAGATCACATCACACATTCATTACACACAGACACTTGAGGAGACCTGCACTGGTTCCTGGATTCCTCTGCCAGTACGGTAAAGTTTTGTTTGTGAACTCAGTGAAGACCACTTTTAGTGGTGTGTGTTTCTTTGCATTTTGATGATTACAGAGAGTCATATAGGAACCCCCACAGTACCATTCAGAACAGGTCTAAATGAGATAACCCCCAAGCCTGTTGCCATCTAGTCAATTCCAGCTCCTAAGGACCCTGTGGGAGGGGAGCTCTGGTGGCCTAGTGGCAAGAAGCTGCACTGCAATCCCAGAGGTTTGCGGTTTGAATGCACCAGATGCTCTACTGGAGAAGGAGGGCAATTTCCTCCTGTACCAGTCAGATCCGATTTGATGGTACACACACAAAAAAGAAACTGCTGACTTTTCTATTAGCAGTCCAGTGTTTAATCCACTATGCCACCAGAGTGTCTTCAGGTCTGTCAATTCCAAATTCCTTTGCATGGTCACTTTGTGTAAATCAATCCCCCCTCTAAAACTCCTAGCAACACATACCTGCTCTGACGGCCTAGTGGCAAGAAGCTGCGCTACAATCCCATAGGCACACAGTTTGAAGCCACCAGCTGCACTGTGGGAGACGGATGGGCAATCTCCCATGGCTTCTGATAACCTGTTGGAGGGTAAGCTGTGGGTTGGTTCTGGCTTGAAACAGTACACAACAATAATAGTATCTGTATATTCTTATCTTTTTTAGGATGCCATATAAATGGATTAATACAATAGGTAGGCTTTTATGTCTAGCTTCTTTTAGTTAGGAACATGCATATCTGATTAGTCCTTTCCATTAACAAAAGGAGAAATAATATAAAGAGGGGGAGGAAACTTGGAGAATCTAGGCACAGTTTCTAACCTGGAAATTACTGTCAAAACCAGTCTATTTTAAGCAACTTCATCCATGTTATTAAATGAATCAATACAGCACTGACTGAAGGATGGTATTTTGAAAGCAAGAGCTAATGTTAGGTACGTTTGTTGCTGCTGGTGTCACTAGCACTAAGCCCCCTCAGCTCTCTTTCTCCCGTTCCCATTGGATCAGAACTAACTCCATTGGGTTTCGGAGGCTGTCATTCACGTGGGAGGGCATGGCCCTTCCTTTAATGGAGCCGCTGGTAAATATTTGTACCTCTAGACACAAATCTATCTGTATTCACTTATTTCTGTATTTCTCTCTTTATTTTTATAGTGTGTATATTTCTGTCTTTGGTGAATATATACAAATAAAGTTAACTTCATATTTCACCTGCAACGCTAATCCTGAGTTGCCTTACCACGGTTTTTTTATCCACTCAACTTGTTAAAGGACATCTAGGCTACGACTAGGTGTCAGCAGGGAGTTCTAGTGGCCTAGTAGAAAGAAACGGCACTGCAGTCCCAAAGCCATGTAGTTCGAATCCATCAGCTGCTCGATGGGAGGCTGGGCAGTCTCCTCCTGTGCAATTAACTGCTTCTGAAAGCCGCTAGACGGTTAGTTATGGGTCGGTTCCGACTTAGTGGTACTCAACAACAACAACAAAAACAACAACTAGGTTTCAGCATCTATGAATAAAGTGGCTACAAACATTCACGTGCCAGTTTTTATGTGAACACAGTTTTCATGTCACTTAGGTAGTATGTAGTAGAATGGCCGGGTTATGGGGTGAGGGCATGATGACTTTAAAGGAGACTTCTGAACAATTTTCTGAAGTGACTTTGCAGTCCCTCCGTCACGGCTGAGAGTCCCTACGGCTCCACGTGCACCAGCAGCTTGGTTGTCTGCTTTTTTTAAAACCAGAAACCCCTTCCTCTTGGCTTCTTCCTTCCTGTCGGTTTCTGCCTAGATTACAAAATAATCTGTACTCTTGCTTTGCAGCTGGGCATTAGTAGTGAAGGCAATGATTTTTCGATGACTTCATCTTTCCACTGGGTGTTAAGATGTTACCCAGTTTCTTATAAGACAGGTTCAACAAATATTCTTAGGTTGGCATAGCAGGTAACAACACTGAATTCTGATCTGGTTTCCTCAAACCTCTGTGCCCTCTTAGCCTCTTAGTTTGCTAAATGAATCCATTAAGGCATCAGCATGGTCATGGCCCATCACCATCCCCAGACTCTAGGGTGGCTGTGGATGCAGCAGGAGAAACCACATCCCTTGGCTTTTGTGTGTGCAGCCTCTGTTGGGATTCTCCGGTTCCTGACATGGTAGGTAGCACGTTCTCATAGTCACCATCATCCTCACTTAGCAGTTCTTCATGCATCATCTGACTGTTTCCACTCTGTGCCACCTGCTGGAAGGGCACACGAGGCGTTGGAACAGGGAACCTGCCTGGTTTCTCGACTGGCTGAATGCAGCTCTCTGGAGCATCTGTCCAGCCCTCTACATGGTCTGTATTTAAGGATGTAACCTCTTCCTCCACCTGCTGGTGGCTTCCATTGGCATTTGCTGGCGGGACATTTTCATAATCTCTGCAGCACCGAAAAGCTGTCCAGGGTTGCTCCCCAGGGGTGTCCTCAAGATAAAATTCAGACATGTTGACATAATCATTTGAGGTCTGAGAAGAGCTTTCCTCGTCACTGAGTTTGTCACGGCTCTCAGTTCCTGGACACCCAAATCTGATACAGTCACTGCCACAGCTCACATCTCTTTTTTCAGTGAAGTCCACTTCCTGGACACCTGGCAGGACAGTGAGATTCTCAGGGGAGCTGGAAGTCAGAGTCTCAGCTGTCTCTTCTGCTCCGGGCACATTAACATAATCCCTTGAGTCCTCTGAAGACGTGCTCAGGTCATCTCTGAAAGCTCCCATATTGACGTATTGTGCAGAAGGAGTGAGGGTCTCACATACCTGGGGCACCATGGCGTTGTCATAGACACCCACCACATACCCCAGAGGACAAGCGCGGGCTTCCAGCGCCTGGAGGGTGGTTCTTGCTCGTGAGGGCTGTGGGGAAGAGGAGAAAGTCAGAGATAGGATAAGAGACAGAAACATGGACCAATTTTTCTTCTCCTCTGCCCAGTGTCCTTTTCCCCTCCACTGTGGAGGAAGCACTGAATCAGGGTTCTCACACGGTTAAGCTTTTTACATGCCAGGTAGGAGGGACTCAATCAAACTCACTGCCAGAGAGTTGAAACTACCATAGCTCACCTTCCAGTGGAGTTTCTGGAGGCTGTAAATCACATGGAAAGAGGTTATCTATCTTTCTACCGTGGAGCCACTGATGGGCTAAGATCACCAGAGAGGTGCTGCCTATTGATTGGTAGTGCAACTCCCTAGGGACAGCGAAGCAGGTGAAATTAAAGAAAAGTAACATTGATGACCAATTGCAACTAGTTTGTTGGGGTTTTTTTGTTTGTTTGTTTGTTTTAACACAGGGTGGAGGTTTAGTTAGCAGTGGGATTCAGGGAAGTAGTATAAACAAAGAATAGTGGTGAATGGTACCCGCTTACATGCAAAATAGAGTTCAAATTCCAGCCACTCCTCTTACTTGTTGAGAGAGCTTGGGAATGCTAAATGATCTTAATCAATTGCACAGAGCTAGTTTTCTAATTTCCAAGGAGGGTAAACATAATGTCTACATCATAAAGCTTTTGTTGGAAAAAGGAAGGCAAAAAGAGCCAGACACAAAGACCAGATACAAAGACTGAGCATTTCCTTCAGAAATACGTGTTGTACATTTCTGGTCCCACAGTCTTGGGTGATAGCCTTGGAGGACATCAAGGTCAGTGGCATGAGACAATCTACAATGTTCCACATAGTATCAATTGAGGTCTTAAAAAAGTTTTGAGTCTTTGTCTAAGGTACAACTATTGGTCTCTTCCAATCTTTAATAAAGAGGAAGGAAGAAATGCAGAGATGCTAGAAATAATTAGATCAAAGGACTGACTGACCATATGAACTTCAACCTCCACACCTCTGAGACTACAGAGGTAGATGGTGCCTGGCTATGAATGCTGACCATTCTGAAAGGTATCACTACTGGGGATATAAAAAAATATTTCTATATTTCAACCTCTCCAGAGTACTGAGAAGCGACGATGTGAGTCTAGAGACTAAGGCATGCCTGACATGCTCTTCAGAATTACTTGCTATACATCAGAGAGCGGGACAATGACTAAGGATGACAGAAGAAAAATCAATGCCTTCGAGTTGTGGTGCTGGAGAAGAGTCTTGAACACACCGTGGACCACCAAGAAATCAAATAGGTCTGTCTTGAAGAAGGTGAAACCAAGTTTCTCCTTAGAGGCCAGAATTTTTAAGCTCTCACATACTTTGGGCCTGTGGCCAGGAAAGACTCATCCCTGGAGAAAGGAAGGAAGGGTGGAGGGACAGCACAGCAGAGCAAGGCCCTGGATGAGATGGAGTGATACAGTAACTGGGGCAATGAGGGTAGGTGCGTCAGGTTCAGTGAGACTGGTTCAGGACAGGGCAGACTTCAGAGCTGTTGTGCATCAGTTGCTTTGAGTTACAGGTGACTCGATGGCACATGACAACAAATGGGAATATACCCTACAAAAACCAGAGCCACCACTCAAACATGTGTATGCACACCCATGTTTATTGCTGCATTATCCACAATAGCAAAGAGATGGAAGCAACACAATGGAATAGTATGCAGTACTGAAAAACAATGAACTCACAAAGCATTACACAACATGGAGAAGCCTGGAGGACATTATGTTGAGTGAAATATCTCAATCACAAAAAGACAAATACTGCATAACACTACTGTTACAAAATAGGACAAACATGAGTGAGTCAGGGAGAGAATGAGAAAAGAATGTATTGATAATGAACACTGCATTAGAATAGATGAGGGGAAGAACTGTCTGAAAGGAATATATTTTTAGACAACAATCTGGAACAAGGGATGAATTGTGGGGAGGACTGGGGGAAGGAGAAGAAAATGTGCAACAATAAAGAAATAAAAATACAAGGTATCACAGTAGAATGTCCAGGACAGACTCTGTGTGTGTGTGTGTGTGTGTGTGTGTGTGTGTGTGTGTGTGTGTGTGTGTATGTGAACAGAACCAGAGAACATAAAATATTACTTAATAGGGACTGGTTAAAACAACAGCTGAGACTATGGCTTCCGGTCAAACCCTTCAAACCTGGAACAAAACTCATTCAGCTCAAATTTTACTCAAGAAATAATAGACAGGCTTCAGCTGAACAGTAACAACAAGGAAATGCTTCTTAGCATAATCAATCATATAAGATCAAAAGAGCAGTGTGGGCTCTCGGCTGGATGCTGCTGTGTCAGCACGCGGGAGTCCGGGTTCGAACTCGAAATAAACTTTGTTAGTTCGGCAAAAAAAAAAAAAAAAAAAAAAAAAAAGAGCAGTGTGTACTTACGGATAAAGCCCTAGGGGCAGGAAGGAATGGGATAGAAGGATTAACTCACGTGAGAATCACAAAGAGGAAGCAGGAAGCGTGTGGTTTCATTTGGGGTATTGTAATTAGTCATAGTCACCAGAGTTTAGGAAGCTCTGGTGGCCTAGGGTAAGACTCTAGCTGTAATCCCGAAGGCACGTGGTTCAAATCCACCAGCTTCTCTGTGGGAAAAAGATGGGATTCTGATATTATTAACTGCCTCTGAAAACCCACTGGAGGCTCAGCTATGGATTGGTTCCAACTCAACCACAATTAGTCATAAAACAAAATGTATATACGTGTTTGAATGGAAAATAAATTTTCTCTGTAAACTTTCACTCAAATGACAATTTATATATATTATACCATCAGGTTCCATGTTCGGCTACTAACCAAAAGGTTGACAGTTTGAGTCCACAAGTTGCTCCAGAGGAGAAGGATGGATCATTTTCTCAGAAACCTTAAAAGCCTGGTAGAGGCTTGTTGAGTTGGAACTGATCTGAATGTGGGGGTATGTGGTGGGGAGGGGGGAGAAGAAAGAAATTCCAAGCCCTAACTCTGTGGTTAGAGAGCTCTGGGGGCCTAGTAGAGAAGGAGTTGTCTGCCAACCCAAAGGTAGGTGGTTCAAATCCACCAGCTGCTCCAAGGAGAAAGATGGGCAATTATTTACTGCCTCTGAAAACCCACCAGAGGGTTAGCTGTGAGCAGCTTCCCACTCAATGACAGCTAACTACAACAACAACAACAACAACAAGTCTGTGGCTGTACTCTCATTCGGGAAGTTTTCTTTGTTGGGCTAATGAAGCATGATTTGTGCAGGATGTGTCTTAACTCAATCTCTTTTGAGGTGGAAGAGATTAAACAAAGTGCTGGCAGAGCAGAGATATGGGATGACCAAGCCACATAAAGATCACCCAGGAGCAGAAGTGAGGAAGAGATAAGCCCTTTCCTCTGTGGCTGACAGAGAAACAAACCCCCCTCGAGACCTGACTTCCTGAATTTGGGCCTCTGGTCTCCTGAATGGTGAGAAAACAAACTCCTGTTTGTTAAAGCCATCCACTTGTGGTATTGCTGTTAAAACAGCCCTAGATACCAGTGACAATCAGTGTTTACGATACTTCATAGTATAGGGAAAAAAACCCACCACACTTGAAAAAAATTTTACAATTATTATGAAAAAGGCAGCGGGCACACAGATGGTTGGTATTCTTGCAAATAGCATGCCCACACACCTGACAGTCGTAGTGTGCACAGAGGACTAACTTGTGAAGGAGCTGTGTGATTTGGGGTGGGGTGGGGGGGAAGTGCCTACCATTGACATTTCAGGATACTAGCTTGCTATTGCCAGAATTCGGATTTTCATGAAAAATTAGAAATCTGGACTTTTATGTTGGCAACTGGTTCAAACATATTCCTAAAATCCTATAGGAATCCAAAGAAAATATCTGTATGGGATTAAGCCATTTTTGTATCTAACTCTGACTACAGAACCCAGTCAGGTTCCAAGCACAACTAGTGGGGTTTCCTCTTCCCTGTCCTTACCAGCCCCTTAGACTTGCTGCGCCAGACCCTCAGACTGCGATGTGTGAGATGACAGAAGCATAAGCATGGAGTGAAGATGGTTGTGTAGTCACTGAGTCTAAGCCTCTGGATAATAAACAAAACCAACAGCAACATTGCTGTGTCAACAAGCACAAAACAGGGGAGACTGTTCTCTCAGCAAACGTGAACTTATCCATGAAAATTAGTATTCTACTCTACAAAAGTTATGAGTTAGCAAGAGACAAGAAGACACTTATGATACTGCATGAGTTCACTCAGCATACTGCGCTCCAGCCTCTCCCAAGTTACATAGTAAGGACAAATCCAGCATACGACGACTATTGTAAAAAGAGAAGGTTCACTAGTAAAATAAGCTTGGGAACGCTAGAGGAGGGAGAGGGTGGAAACAGAGAGGATGGGTTGGGGTGAAACCACAGGGTTGCACAGTTTTGTGGGTGGAGGAATGTGTTTAAAGGAAATGAGAAGGACTCGGGTGAAAAGACAGGGTAATGATGGGCCAGGTCCAATGGTGATTAATTTTATAAAACATAATGCATGAGAATGATTGTATAAAACTCAATGTGAAAGAAGAATAGTGTGAAGCACAAGATATATGAACTTTATAAACAAACCAATTTAAAAAAACAGAACCTCAATGAGATGGAGTGACGCAGTGATTGCAACAATGGGCTTGAGGAGGTGGAGACTGTGAGGATGGTGCAGGATGGGTCAAGGTTTAGATCTGAGGTTCACAGGGTCACTGTGGGTGTCCTGGAGGGCAGAAAACAATAACACCTGTTCAGAGTAGCCACCCCTCTACAGATGGTCTCTCCTCACAGAATGATTGTTGGGCTCTTCTCTGGGCCCTTCCTTGAGAGTCAGATCATAAACCATGTGATTATTACCTGTAATTTTCCCTTTGTAACTTCAAAGATGAAATAAGGAGCCTTGGTGGTACAATGGTTAAGTGCTGAGCTGCTAATGGAAATATTGGTGTTTGGAGCTCATCCAGCTGCCCCACCCCCACCCCCAGGCTTGATGATCTTGTCCCAGAAAGACCACAGCCTAAGAACGTGTGTGGAGCAGTTCCATGCTGCCACATGGCATCGCTGTGAGAGCAGAAATGGACTTGACAGCATTGAACAATAGCAACCTCGGAGAACAGCCTTAAGTTTGATCAAACATGCTATACCCAGCTCCAGAGATGGCATAGTGGACTGGTAACAAAAGGTCTGTGGTTCAAATCCACCAGCTGGCTCCTGGGGAGAAAGATGAAGTACTCTGTTCCTGCTAAGATCTCCAGCCTCAGAAACCAATGGAAGATCAGCACTCAGTCAGAATCCATTTGATGGAAGTAAATTTCAGTGCTGAATGACTTCCAAATAATTCTCTGCTGTAGAGAGTTGAAATAATCTGACACAGGCCCTAAAGGTAATTCCCAAAGCAGGGTTCAAATATATTCTGAGACCCTTCTGAGCATTGTTGGGATACCAGTCCTTTTCTGAGGTGCTAACTTTGAAGAAGTCAACATTTACTGTCGTTAATTAAGCAAATGATCACGTCTTTGCTGGAGCAATCCATTTCAGTTCGAACATAGTATCATGGCATGCACATGCTCAGGGCCTCTGTCTTCCACTCTCCAGCACTTGCTCTTCCCTGTCTCAGTTTTCCTCATTGGGCAGTAGGAGGTCTCGGCTATTAATAGGGCTGCAGGGCTTGTGCTAAAGGACACATAGTTTGTCCACAATGAAACAGGATCTGAGGCTAGCACTCTGTCACCTCTGCTTTTTTCCTGCCAGAGACAGGTCATATCTCCCCTGGGGTTTAGCTCTTACCATATGCTCAGGGGTAGGACTGTCAGAATGTCTGGAGAGGAGACTCTCAGTACTGAAAATACGAATATTCCTTGACTGATGTCTTCCTGAAAGAACAGAAAACACGTATTGGAGATAGTCGGGAGTCCTCTGAGGGTGCCCCTCAAGGCAGTCCCTGGTGGAGGTAGGTGGGTGTTGTCTCAGAGACTGGAATTCTGTAGTGAGAGGGTCAGAGCTGCAGTACCCACCCCCTCACCCTCAGTGTTGGTGCCATTAGTACAGGGGCTGTGAAGGCAGAGATGGAAGCTTCTGGAAAGTTCCTTCCTTGCTGGTGGCCAAGTTCTCCTCTGCATGCCTTCCTCACACCCAGACACCCTCATCCTTTCTCTCCTTTTAACTTCCAGACAAAAACCCTTAATCTCAGGGGAGTTTCTATATTTTTAGAGCTCTCTAGGACCCCCTTCCCCGCCCCAGCTGCCCCTTGTAGCCTGTGTAACCCATTCTCTTCAGCTCTCAATGGGGGCTCACAGCTCTAAAGCCTGCAGGAAGCGGTTTCTTGGTGGTAAGAGGGGTATCCTGGGAACAGAAGTTTATTATGTTGGGACTCTGTGGAGTAGGGGAAAGAACCTACCCAGCTCTTCTTGCCTCCGAGGCAAGAAGCTGTAAATATTTTTGTGTCTTTGTCTGAACTGAGGCAGGGTCAGCGAGGGCATGACCGTAACTCGGAGGTAAGGAACTGGGCCTGAAAGGCAAGCAGAGGAAGAGGTCACGGCAGGGGTCAGCTGCACAGGGCAAAGACTCTTGAAAGTGGATTGTTCTCTACCATCTATCATAAAAATACTCCCCACATTTTCATACTTAACTATTTGAGCTTTGCAAATAAAGGTTTCGCTCAGAGATATTACAGGCTCTGTTTCAAACTACAGCAATAAGGCACCTATTGCAACAAAGAGAATCACATACATTTTGTTTGTTTATTTGTTTGTTTCTCAATGCATCTAAAGTATGTTTATACTAGACTGAAGTCTGTTAAATGTCCAATAGCATTATGAGAAAATTTGAAGGGCTGAGGGACAGAGGCACAAGGTGAGCGAGCACATGATGTTGGGAAAATGATACAATGGACTCTCTTAAGGCAGGGTTGTCCTAAACCTTCAATATGTAAAAAAAAAAATCATTAAAAATGCAGTATCTTCAAAGCTTAACAAAGAGAAGTACAATATAACAAGGTATGCTTGCAGGGTGCTTGGTGAACAGAAGTAGGACTGTGGAGTAGAGCCCTGGATTGATGGCTTTCAAAGTAGAACTCAAACCAGCACTGCATTCAGAAGCCAAGGTCCAGGACCTGAGTGAAACACTGCCGGTGAGAAAAGAATGAAGAACTCCCAAGGCAATGGCATATCCCTGGAAAAATAGTTTGATGTGGGAAATTAAAAATAGTCGCTATGGAGTTAATCTTGACCCACAGAAATCTACATGTCAGAATAGAACTGAGTGCCATAGTTTTCAATGACTGTTTTCTGGCCTTGAACCCCTAACTTCTTAGTTAGAAGCCAAAGCATTAGCCATTTGCTCCACCCTAGGACACCAGATATGGGAGAGAAAAAAAAACCTAAACAAGCCTGTTACTGTCAAATCCGTTGTAATGCATCCCTCTAGGTATGGAAGAGTAGTCAGCACAAACAGAATTTTAAATATCAGACTCCATCATGAACCCAATTGTGTGTTTAAAGGGGAGCTCTAGTGGCCTAGTGGGGAAGGCGTTATACTGCTAGCCTAAAGATGGGTTCAAATCCACCAGCTGCTTGAGGGAGAGGGAGAAGGAGAGCTAGAAGGAGAAGGAGAGGGAAAGGAAGAGGGAGAATGAATGTTTAAATTGTAGGATGAAAGACTTACGCCTCTTCCATTTATTCCAGTTCCATAGGACACAGAGCACCGCGAAGACCAGGAGGGTGGCAATGAGCCCCACACACCAAGAGAAGATGTTCATACTCTGGCTACCATCCCTGAGAGGAAAACCAAGAGCTGTGTCCCCACCATGGAAAGGTGAGAGGCTGGAAAAGAAGCTTTCTGTAGGAGTTAGAGCCTGAGGTTTTGGACAAGGACCATGAAGGAAAACCAAAGTCTCTGAAGAGTAACTTTGACAAAAGGGAGAGACTCCCACAAAGGAGAAGGGACTTGTGAGTCACAGTTGCATAGGAGCCTCATTTCGTCCTTATAGCAGTCTGTTACCTCTGTTTTAAGCTGAGAGACTTAAAATAGCTTGTAGGCACCATACGGATAAGTAGTAATAGAGACCAAATATAACTCCAGACCTTTCTGGGACCAAAGTGTTCTTTCCACTCCACAGCTTGGGTGGTAAGGAGCTGTGCTGCCAGCCAGAAGTCACATGGTTCGAAACCAACATTTGCTCTGTGGGAGAAAAATGAACACTCTCCTCTGGTGCAATTCACTGACTCTAAAACCCCGCTGGAGGCTCAGCTACAAGTCAGTTCCAATACCACTATGGACGACTGCAAACTTTCTCTCGCTGCCCTTCATTCCCATTTGCTCTGGGCCTCTTGGCTTCTGCGGGAGAGAGGCTTAACCCAACTACTAGTCAGGGAGTGGCTCTCTGGTTGAGTCCGGCTTTTGTGAACTTGAGTAACCTCCACAGCACTAAGTTGTGGTGCTGGTCTCCAGGCAACGCTTTGCTGTCCTGTGGAATTTACCCAATGCAAATACACTGAACAAGTTCTGTGCTCCTTCCCAACTCCTCCTTGGCAGGGCTGGAGTTCCTGCTCTGCTGTGCTTTGGTTGTGAAACGCATTCCAATGACAGCCCCAGGAGGCTGTGCATGCTGTAACAGTGAGCAGTCAGGTGAGGATGCAGCAGGAACTCGGTAACAGCCCTGCTGTCTGCAAATCAACTAGGTCATGTGCCAGGGAACCACTGTGGAGGCTTTTGACCTCCTAGGATCTAGGCTTGTGTATCCAACTTTATCCTCAGCATTCCTCCTAACAGCCATCTCATTGTCAGTATGTTCCAAACAGCAATAAGATACCACCTCATGTCAGTAGCTGTAGCAAAGTTCAACAAAATAGTAAACAACAAATGTTGGAGAGGATGTGGGAGAGATGGGAGCCTCATGCACTGCTGGTGGGATTGTAAAATAGTACAACTCCTATTGAAGGCAGTTTGGCATTTCCTCAAAATGTCAAACATAGAAATCCCATATGACCCAACTAACTATTCTACTTCTAGGAATAAATACTAAGGAAATCAGAACTGAGACATGAATGGACATTTGTACACATATGTTCATAGCAGTGTTATTTACAATAGCAAGAAAATGGAGGCAGCCCAAGTGCCCATCAACAGATGAATGGATTGAGAAATTGTGGTACATTTACACAATACTGTGCAGCAACATAAAGTACTATATCACTTGGGAGAGACTAGAGAGCAGTTTGCTGAGTGAAATATCTCAGTCATGTAAGGACAAATATTGCATAAGGCCTCTATTGTGAAAATAGGAGGATAATAGAGTAAGAGATATATAAATGTTCAAAAGGGGAAAGGGAGAAGGGGACAGAAAAAGGGAAAGAGAGAAAAAATTATGGAGATAGCAGAAGTTAGTGGGTGGAGAGGGTGAAGTAATGGGAAAGGTTCAATGTGGGCTTGAAAAGATGGAGTGATAATAAGCATAGAACAATGGTAATGATGTAAAATATAATGTATGAGTGATTGTATAAAACACACAGTATGTGTACAAAACACAATCTATATGAATGATTACATGCAAACCAATAAAAGTTTTTAAAAAGAAAAACCCTACATCATTATGTCCAAAGCAGAACACCTATTCTTCTTGAAGAGATCTGGTCCTCCTCTGGTATTTTCATGACACAGTTGGCTAATCACTGGATTAATAACTAATAGGTCAGTGGCTTGAATCCAGTAACTGCTTCTTGGGAGAAAGACAGGCATAACAATCCACAGCCTCAGAAATCCTATAAGGCCGTTCCATCTGGCCCTACAGGGTCACTATAAGTAAAAATTGACTTGGAGGCAGTGCACAGTGGCTCCAAATCTTAGTTATTTTTAGGTGCCGTTGACTCTCCTACAACTCTCGCAACCCTATGAACAACACAACAACTGAGCCTGGCCCAATTCAGCGCCATCCTCAAGATCTCCAGCACGTTAGAGCCCATTGTTACAGTGGCTGCATCAATTCATCTGGCTGAGGGCCTTCCTTTCTTTTTCTGACCCCCCTCCTTTCTCAGCATGCTGTCTTTCTCCAAGGACTGCTCTCTCCTGACCACGTGCCCGAAGCAGGTGAGACAGAGTTTCACCTCCTGGGCCCGAAGGAGCGCACATTCGTTCTTTTGGCAGTCCATGGCTTTCTTCATTGCTTTTTCTCCACATTCCACTCACAGTCAATCAGCAAAAATTCTATCTGCTTTCTCCTGTGGGCCACTGTTGATCCTATACCCAGTCACGTCTGCTCTTCTCCTGGTCCTGATGAACTCGCCATCACTTTCACTTGGGCTGCTCAACAACGTCCCTAACTGACCTTTTGCTTTCACTCTTGACCCCAACACACGCTCTTCACACATGGAGCCCACATGAGCCTTTTCAGGAGTCAACCGGAGGAGCCTCTCCCTGACTGGGAGCTGGGTAAGGCTTGCAGCTGTTTCCCACCACAGCTGGAAGGAAATCCATAGTCCCTACCTCTCAAGGATGTTAAAGCACCATATGATGCTATGGGCAGAGTCTTCTGATCTCATTTCCTGCCACTTTCTCCCTGACCTCTGAAGTGCCATCTGTGGGACGCTTTATTGTCCCTTGCTCATGGCAAGCCGGGTTAACAATTGCTGCTTTCTCTGCCAGGAACACTCCTCTCCCAGCCCATGAATGTCTCTGCTTCTCATTTCATTCTACTCTTTTCTGAAATGTACCTCCTTAGGCAGGCCTACCTGGACCCTGCTTGACTCTCAGTCTCTTAACCCTGCCTCATTGTAACAAACCCCATCGATTGAAAAAGAAACTGTCTATTCGTAGTGCTATTGATATTCTATTATTACAGTGCTTTGCTTATCATTGACCTTCCCTCCTACACTTGACTCTAAGACTCAGGAGACCAGAGATCTGTCTATCCTGTTAATCTGCTGCTGGAGCGGCATTTGATACTTAGTAGGAGCCTGATGAATATTTGGTAACTGAATGAATGAATAAAGACGTGCATGAATACAGAGAGAGCCAGTATTGCAGCACTGGGGCAATATCTATTCATATATTAGTATTTATTATCTAACATTTATTCACCTTCACGGCCCATCCATGCCCACCTGCCATGGTGAAAGCACTTTCCCCAAACAAGGACAATTTTGAAATTGATGTCATTTGGCTTGTGTTATGGTCATGGGACCAACAATTATACCTAGTGAGTGTTACAACTATTGAAAATGTCAACTTGCTGCTAGTATTTTAGCTTTTGTTTGTACGAGATTGAAAGCTGTGGTAGTAAAAATCTGCATCCAGGGTGAATTTTCTGTGAAATTTTTATGTTCTAAAGACACATTTTTATTACACCTATTACTGCATTTTTCATCTGTGGCAACTTTTTAAGACCCCTGAAACACCTCTGTGGGAAGTGAACCTATTGTTTTCAGCACCAAGGATCAGGCCTCAAGAAGAGGGAGAGTTCAACCCAGTTCACCTTTCCCCATCACCTCTTTCTTTTTCCAAAAACATCTGTTAACTTCCTCCTAGCACTTCTGAGAAAGCTCTGAGCCTAGAGCTTGGTGGTTCTAGTGAACCTCAGGTTGGTTATGAGAGGTGACAGTGCTGCTGTGCCTGCCCGTCTGGCAGGCCAGGATAATCAGGGGACTCACCACCCAGGTCACTCACCTATCCTGGCTGCCACTTCTGGGTGCCAGGGTCGTCTCTCTGGATTCTGCATAGGTCGGGGTGATGTTGCTCATTGTCACATGGACCCCTGCGATGCTTGCCGCGTCCAGCTTTTCCTTCTAAGCTTCCTCTCGGTCATAGCCACCCAACCAGCAAACCTGACAATTTTCCTGGCTCTTCCTATGCTGCTGACGCCAATGAGAAAGGTAAATTGGTTGGCTTGTCCTTTATAGCAACTATACATAATATAGACAATTTGTTAGCAGATAATAACACAGAATTTGGTAAATCCTTATAGTCTCCATTTCTTCCAAAGAGTCTCTAACTCATAACTTCACTCTTATGATTTCTCATTTCTTGTTTATTCACTGACATCCTGCATAAACAAAACATTTTCAGTTTTTCTTTCTTTTCTTCTGAAGCTCCCATTTTTCCCCCCTTTCCAGAACTTTTTTACACCAAGCAACTCCCTGCCCAGTCCACAACAAAAAAGTCCTTTGGTTTTTCTTTTTTCCCCCCCAGTCTAAAGTACTCAGTCTTTCTTTTCAGAACTCTCTTTTCCCCCTCGCTACCTCCTCCCCAAAGAAACTTTCTGCTCAACCTTGACGTGTCAGGTTGAGTTGACCCAACATACAAACTCACAGGTTGGTTTTACCTGGAGGTGGCTACAAAGCCCATGCATGGAGGCAAGATCTCATCAGGGCAGCTCAGGGATAGTCCATGGTTTCAGCCTCTGGTGGGAGTGTGAGACACACAGAGGAGGAGAGGCCCAGGAGAGGCTGGGTGAGAACTGCTCATCCTCACTCCCCACCCCCACAACCCTGCAGAGAGAAAAGAGCAAACCACTTTGCCAGAATGGAAACAGAGAGTCAGTCACAGGAAGTGGTACCTCCAACGTGATAGTGAAGCACGAGGCACAGGAAATGCTTTGGGCTCTTAATAAAATGGCAGAAAGCACAGCTTCTTAAACTCACCAGCCCCTGGCTTGGCCAGGTGTTCTGTGCTCTGTGTTTGTGAGAGTAAGAAAAAAAAAAACCCCAAAACGAGGCAAGCTAGTGGGGGCTTTCTCATTACTCCCCCTGAGTTTCT